CTCTCTCTCTCTCTCTCTCTCTCTCTCTCACACACACACACACACACACACACACACACACACACACACACACACACACACACACACACAACTATCATTAACACAAACGCCCAACAAAGTTCAAACCCCAATCATATATGCACCGAACCAATCCCCAATCATATGCACCCAACCAAACCCCAACCATGTATGCACCAAACCAAAGCGAAGCCCTAACCACACAAATTGCCACTAGAGAAAAGAACTCCTCAAAACAGCCACAATTAGTATTAATTGGCCATCAAAACTGTAGAATGAAGAAAATTATCTCCGCGGTAGGGAGTCCATCCGTCGGCACAAGTACATCGGATCAAACGATCTGTGGTCTCGGGGTCGTCGAGCTCAGCAACCAGAACCGGCACCTATCAGCTCCAATGCTGCTCCTCATGTCAGGACTCTCATGGTGACGTCTTCCTCCAGTCAAGGCTCCGTATCTAAAACCAGGGGATGAAAACCCCTGATCGGTTGCAATTACTGGTATGAGGTGGCGACCAGGATCTTGCGTGTCAGTTGTCCCCACTTCAAAGTTCCTCCATTCGTCAACTGAACAGGATTCCCAGCAAATCCTGACCGAGACCGGCCATAGCCAGGGGCTTGGTATTATCCCTGCGAAGCATACACTCCACCCGGCCCCACATGCTCTACACCACATATCACCCCTGCGCCGCCACCAGCAAGTTCTGGCACGCGAAGCCAAGCACTCACTGAGCCCGCTGTGGGATCGCGTGCTGTCCTGTCGTAATTGTGTTTTGCTGTTTTCTCTCTTTTTCCCATCGGGGTGCGTCGTCGTGCGCAGCAGGTGTCTTGCTGTAGCTGGGCCAGTGTTGGTCAGCAAATTTCATGAATTTTTTTGTGGATTGGTTGCAGTTTAATGTTGTACGCAAGTAGAGAGTTGGTTTGAGAGAATGTGTAAGACAATAGACACCATTGGGACGTTGTGGGGACGGGCATGCGCAGGAAATCCCCTTGTGAATTGAGATGTGTCAACCTTTGCTGCTGTTCACCTCTGTTGTCTGCAATGATATGACTGCTGTTGCTTAGGCTGGGGACTTCGCAGCATGAAAGTTTGTGACTAAGTGCTTCTCTAAGTAGTAAGTAGAGCCTAAACCACCTCTTCCCCCGCCAAAAAAAAATTGGGGGACCGGTAGCCCAAGTTAATGAGGGCTGCCGGTAGTGTGCAGAGCCGGTAGAGTGGCCTGCAGGTGGCAGAGTGGCAAGAATGGAGTATTTTTCCGTTGGCCCGCAGGTGGCAGGGTGGCCAGAACAAAAAATGCACCGAATCGACGCGGCAAATATTTCACCCTCTAAAATATTTTACTTCATTTTTTAAATATTTTTCCTGAATAGATCACGGTCAAATCTACGGGATCCCAAATTTCAGATTTTCTGTTTTTTGGGTAGGCCGTCCTCCTCTTGAATTGCCGTTGACCTCCGCTTCTTTCGGGCTACCAGCCTCCGATGGTCCCGAAAAGCCAATTTTTGACGTTGGGGGGACTGGTGGTTTAGAAATGGTGGTGCTATATGGAGACTTTGGCATGGAGAATGTGGCTAGGAAGGAGGGTCTCTCAAATTGGATATGTGGCGTGGTTTGTGACCCACTAGTTAGTCTTTTCTTTACTATTCTTGGCATGCTTGGGGGAACTGTTTGGCTGCTGGATTTTCATGGCTCAAGGGCTCCTCGCAATGGCTCCAACCCATGTGACGCATGCACATACTTCTAACTCCATTGACTCTCTCTCTCTCTCTCTCTCTCTCTCTCTCTCTCTCTCTCTCTCTCTCTCTCT